GCCATGTGGTCACCTCCAGGGCAAGCAGGGATCGGAAGTGGCTTTAGCTTCTTAGTGCTGTGCTTTAACCCGCTGCGCCACCAGGGAGGGCCCCAGTTACAGCAGTTTTAAATGCTACAAGAAATTTAAGTTGAAGAAATTCAGACTCCATGATACTGTGATACATTTCTGATTGCCAGAATATTTCACTTAATGGAAATAGCCAGGGCTGCTAAGTGAAATGGGTGCTTGGTGCGGGGAGTCAGTTCAGTACTGAACCCAGTGATGCTGGGGCAAGTTTATTCTAAGGAAATAGCAGCACATAAAAATTTATAAGCAAGGATTTTACCATGGCATTGTATTTTTAAAAAAGGAAAATGTTGGCAGGTTCAGTTTTACATATGTGCAAAGATACTAAGCACTAACCATTGAAAGAGGTATATGCAGACAGCGGGATGGGAAAGACAAAGCAAACTTCAGAAGTGGATGTTTAGTACTAGTTAATGAACAATGTGAAGTTAACTACCAAATAATTGTCAGGGAAGCTCTTCCACAGGGGAAAATATTTCATTTGCCTTTTCTTCCAGTCTCAGCAAATTGAGAAACAAGAGTTGAGAGCATGGGGCACCATCACCCAACCTGCCCTGCCCAGGAGTTCCCGGGCAGTCCGCGCGCGTTGCCCACTATTGAGGGCAAAGTGACCCTAGCTTCATGGCTTTGCTATACTGTCTGACAAAGAGCTGTGAGGAAAGCTCATTTATAAATGGGATTGGCCCAGAATAGTCCATGATTATTAGATCATTTTTAATATTCTCTAGAAAGACAGCTTTATAAATGACATGTATATTCTCTTCTCTCTCAGTCTTCCCAGCTGTTTTGGCTTTATCCCCATAGGGAAAATAATCCTCTTTTTCACTCATTTCCAGATAGGAGACATGAGAGAGTGGTTGTCAGTGCCCTGAGTGAAATTGGCTCACTGACAGCCAAGTGGGTCCTTTGGGTGTGCGTCTGAATGGGCCCTTAGGCATTACTGTCCCGTAAGTCTTTTTGAAAAGCAGACCTTCATCTGAGCATTGAACAGCATTCACCTGCAAGTACTGCCAAGAGCAGGTAAGCAGCCTGATGTTCTGTGTTATAGGTACTCCTCAGCAAGTGGTGACCCAGATCATCCGAGGCCAGCCTGTCTCCACTGCAATCTCTGCCCCCAGTACAGTGTCCTCAGCATCCGGGCAGAAAGGACTAGCCACAGGAACGCCCCCTGCCACGCTGCAGTCCTCAGCCTCACAGCCCCCTCGCCCCCAGCAAGGGCAGGTGAAGCTCACCATGGCTCAGCTCACTCAGCTAACGCAGGGCCACGTAAGTGATGCGGCCTCACTTTACTTTAGAGGCAGTTTTATTTATTGTTGCTTTAGGTTTAAAAAATACACTTTTTTCTTTCAAGGGCTTTGAATTATACTTTTTTTTTTTTAATGACTGCTTCCTAGAGTCAAGTAAAAGCACTTCATTACCCTCAGAATATAATGAAACCCCAACTCTAGACTCCTTAAGCCATGAGATATAACAGCCAAGTGAATAACCCTTTCCCTCTCCTCCTCCTCTTCCCCTCCCCAAATAACCCTTTAACCACCAAATTTTTATTAGTTGACCAGTTTCCATAGGCGAAATAAATTCTGAATATACTAAACTGCTTCCTTGCGAGACTCAGTATGAACCACCCTCCCAGCAGTAGTCAACAAATGGAATGCTGTTCTAGCCAACCAAAGAGGTAGTGTTGTGAAATGTGACGGGCAGATTTTTAAAATTTAAGTGAAAATGCAAAGGGTCAAAAGCAGTGATAACACTTTTGAAGCACTGAGGAGTTGCCCTTTGTGATGATTTTTTTTTTTAAGATTTATTGTGCATACAGAACTGGGGTACAGGCCAGAGGTTCAGGGGTAGTGAGAGAATTCACCAGAGACAGAGTGGGGAGCAGAACAGACAGATCCACGAAGTACACTGCTGAGGGGAGCAGCGGGCGGGCCAGGAGAGGTCTGCCGCGCCCCGCCCTGAAGGCGGGGATCGAACTCATGCTGAAGTGGCTTTAGCTTCTTAGTGCTGTGTTTTAACCCACTGTGCCACCAGGGAGGGCCCTTTGTGATGATCTGATGTCAGTGTTTGTACTGATGAATACAGTGAGGGCCGGACCTAAGGCAGACTTAAGAATAGTGGAGTACAGAGTGACCCCTGTTTGCGCTCTCTGACAGAGCTGCTTGGGAGATCATTGATAAAGGGGCAGGTAACTTAGTAAATGGTGCTGGGACCACAAAGCAATCCCGAGAAAAAGGGGCCACTGCATCTGCTACCTGGAGAGGGCGCTATTCCCAACCTTTGTTTGATCACTGGTGCTCCTGAAGCGTTAAATGGAACCAGAACTGCACTCCTGAACTCAAATCCAGGAAGTAAGAGTCTGAAGTATGAAAAGAAAAACAGTATAATCCTGTTAGGAGATGGATGAAGAAAGTCTTCATATCCTCAGAGAGGAAAGACTTTCTGAAACATAAAAAAATACACTCTAAAAAGAAAAAGACTTGTACATTCATCTACAATAAAAATAAGAATTCCAGTTCATTGTGCACTATAGAGTTAACAGAACGAGAGAAACTAGAACTAGAAACCAACCAAGAACTATTTACTGGAATATTCAAAGAATCACTACAGATCAAGGAGGAGAGAGATCCGGATAGCTCAGGAGAAAAAAAGAACAAGTAAACTTGACAGAAACTCTAAATTTCAACCTGCTGAATTTTATTTGAAATGAGAGAAATGCATATTAAAACCATGTGACTAAGAGGTTGGTATAAATTAAAATGTTGGCCAAAACCAAAAGTTAGCAAGGACGTGGAGGAGAATGAACTCATGCTCAACTGGTGAGTGTGCCAATTGGGTTGTAGCCATTTTGGAAAACACTTGGATATTATCCAGGGGGAGATGCACATGCCCTGGGCCGGTCATTCTCCCTCTAAGGATCGAAAATACATTTCCTAGAGAAAGTCTTAATTTATCTGAGCCTCGGGGACATGAATATTTCTAGCAGCATCGTTCATAAGAGTCAGGAACTCAGGACAATGAAAATGCGATCTTGGATCCCTAGATTGTGGTGTGTCCCCACAGCAATGAAAGTGAACAAACTACAGCCACATAAGTGTACATTGTTGAACTAAAGAAACAAGTGATAAAACAAATGTATGGCTTCATCTGCATACATTTCAGAAACAGTCGAAATTTGACTAAGCTGTTTTACACAGGGTCCCAAGGGCTACGGTATTAGCTACCTGGAGGGGCGTCATTCTCACTGTTTTCTGTGTGCCTAGTGCTCATGGAGCTAGGAGACAGAGGCCCTAGGTAGACTCTGTGCTAGGCAGTAGCACTTTGAAGAAATGCAGTGTGAGAAAGCAACGGCCTCTCGGGGAAAGGAAGTAACCAGCGTCGGGCGCATGCTCGGGGCTTCTTGAGTGCTGGCGTGGTGGGCAGGCGTTGGCTTCACAGGGGTTCACTTTATGACTTGACTTACACGTGATGTGTGGTGTATTTTTGAGTGAGCGCTATAGCTACATGAAAAGCAAGAGTAAACGAGGAGCTCAGAGTCAACAATGGAGTGAGTGTCGGGGTGAGGGCTGTGTGGCACCCATTCAGTCACTGTGGAGTTGGGGTGAACTGGTTCAGATTTGCTTCTATCTCCTGCCATGTTCCTGGTAGTAGGTTACGGGATTAATATGTCCTAGCCAGAGGAGTTTTTAGCTCCAAGTCCCCATTTTGATAACCACTGGGATAATAGCAGCCCTCCTGACTTGGTGTTTCATTCCATATCTAGAATCCTAAGCTCCTTGTGCTTTAGCTCACACACCAGGCTTGTCAGCTCAAACTCTTCAAATGGAGATTTAGTAACTAGGAAGCCTGGGCAACTCCCCTTTACCTTGATCTGTAGCTTTGGACAAATTTGAACTTTCTGACCTGAGTTGTTTAATTGATAATAAAATTAATAGTAGTATCTTCTCTCCTGCTATCACAAAGTCCCACTGTGAGAATCATGTGCAGCAGAATATGTAAAGATACTTCCAGAATTGTGAAATAAGAACAACATAAGATTATTTAAAAACAGAATTTAGTCATAAACTTCAGCCGCCTTATTTTGTAGATTGGGAAACTTCAGTCTGGAATGGACAGCCTTCTGGCTATCCATTTAAAGAGCTTAGATGAGAACTCTGGATTGTTCATCCAGGATTCTTCCAATCAGTCTTCTGATTTTCGCTTATCTGATTTTTTTCTTGGCACTATTTCATAGACCTTCACAGACATAATTTCATTATATTAAAGGACTTTTTCAAAGTGAAATTGTTATGCTTATGGGTTAATGCTGTGAACACTGTTTATATGCTGTGTGTTTTTTCCACAGGGAAGCAGTCAAGGTTTGACGGTAGTTATTCAAGGACAAGGTCAGACTACGGGACAGTTGCAGTTGATCCCTCAAGGGGTGCCTATACTTCCGGGTCCAGGACAGCAGCTGATGCAAGCTGCTATGCCAAATGGTACTGTTCAGCGGTTCCTCTTTACCCCACTGGCAACCACAGCCGCAGCGGCCAGCACCACTACCACCACTGTTTCTACTACAGCAGCAGGTAGAACGTCGGGGCTATCAGAGCGCTGCATGCTATTCCCCAGGGTTGCTGGGTACACAGAGGGGAAAGCGGATCAGGGCCTGTCTGGGCGGACGCCTCCCGTCAGTGAGTTCACGGCCGACATGCCCAGCCTCTCAAACCCTCCACAGACTCCCTCTCACCACCACCACTTCCAACTAGTACATGTACATAGATGTACTGCTGTTGAGAACTGCAGGTCAGAACCACTTTGTTAACTGCCTACTACAAATTTAGACACTGCATACCACCACAGTGCAGGTTGGCATTAGTCTGGGCCGGAAGACCTGGCTAACTTGCAGAGGGCACACATTGCCTCAGAAGCCAGCACTCTGGAGATGGCGTGAAGTGTGTGGAGGACAGTCACGCCCCAGACCCAGGCTGTCCAATTTAGCAGAGTCCTAACCCCAAGAGTATCTTTGAGGATATTGCTATGCTGAATCGCAGAACCCTCATTTTCAGATAATCCTCTTTAGCTACTTTAACTGTGGCCTTATGTTCTAGAATAATAGAAATATTTGATCTTTCCCTTTTGCAGGTACAAGTGAACAAAGGCAGAGTAAATCATCACCCCAGTCACAGGTGCAACAGTCCAAAATGCTGCCAACAGCTCAGTCACCAGGTGTTGGTCCTCCTGAAGCCCAGCCACAGGCCGCTCAGCCTTCAGCTCGACCCCAGTCCCAAACCCAGCCCCAGTCCCCAGCTCAGCCTGAAGTGCAGACTCAGCCTGATGTTCAGACCCCAACAACTGTCGCATCCCACCTCCCTTCTGAAGCACCACCTGCCCAAGCACAGTCATCCAAACCCCACGTTGCAGTGCAGTGTCAGCCTCAAAATAATGTCCAAGGACAGTCTCCTGCTCGCGTCCAGAGTCCACCACAGACCCGAATACGCCCGTCAACTCCATCCCAGGTGTCTCCTGGACAGCCAGCCCAGGTTCAGACTACAACCTCACAACCGATTCCAATTCAGCCACATACATCTCTTCAGACACCTTCCCAGGGCCTGCCACAACCACAACCCCAGGTACAGTCTTCAACTCAAACTCTTTCATCAGGACAAACGTTAAGTCAAGTTACTGTTTCCTCCCCGTCCCGTCCTCAGCTTCAAATCCAGCAGCCACAGCCCCAAGTCACTGCTGTGCCTCAGCTACAACAACAAGTCCAGGCTCTCTCTCAGATCCAGTCACAGGTTGTGGCTCAGATACAGGCTCAGCAAGGTGGTGTGCCCCAGCAAATCAAACTCCAATTACCTATTCAAATTCAGCAAAGCAATCCGGTGCAGACTCACCAGATTCAGAATGTGGTTACAGTGCAGGCAGCCAGTGTGCAAGAGCAGTTGCAAAGGGTTCAGCAACTCAGGGATCAGCAGCAAAAGAAGAAACAGCAACAGATAGAAATTAAGCGGGAACACACCCTCCAAGCTTCTAATCAAAGTGAAATCATTCAGAAACAGGTAAAGTTATTAAGTAAAAGCAGCATGTTCAGTAGCTTGAAATATTGTGCTGTGCATTAGCTTAGCGTTTGGTTGTGTTAGGTCTCCAAAATGAGACAAAGTCACTGGTAACGTCAACTTACGAGCAGCCCTGCTTTGACAAGAGTGTCGAATGACTGCTGTGGTTGGGACCTCTGTTTGCTCTATACAGTCAGTGCTTATCAGTAGAAACTACCTGTATTGGGAAGAAGTAAGATGGGGAAATGGAGTCAGGTGTTTAAGTTTCATTAATACAAAACTTGAAGGTTTAAGTTTTAAAGTCACTTCAAGCATCAGCAGTTGGAAGTTACTTGGAGTAGTCACTCCTTAGTTTGCATGTAGACAAGGCAAGACAGGTTCAGCTGTGCATTTCTAGCCATGCCTCTTTTTTTTTTTTCTTTTTAAAATTCTGAATACCAGTGGGTTGGGGGGTTGGCTGTTCGAATAAAGAATATTTTTTTTGTTTAAATCCTCTTGTCCCGTAGCCTAACTGTGAAGTGGCATCATGCAGCAGCATCCTAGTGCTCTAAGACAGGTCAAATGAGTTAGCGTTGTTCTGCTTAACATGAAGTCAGACATACAACATACTGGAGCCTTACTGGAGTGGACCTTACTTGCATCCTTAGTAGGTGCCTCAGTGCTGGACAGGGGTTGGAGTGTGGATTTCAAATACCCCCAGTCATGAGACCTGCATTCAGCTCCTTAATCTCCTGTCTATTGTCCCTCAACTATGTCCTCATTGAAACCTCCTCTTTAGCCACACAAGATTATTGGTGACGGTTAAATGAAGTCGTGTATTTAGAAGCACTTTTTAAACAGCAAAGGGGTTTTAAAGATGTGTGGAAATACTTACAAAATTACTGTCACTGCATATATAACATGTTCAAATGCATTATGACCCAGCTTCTAGTACTGTATTGTCTGTCCAGTGAGAATGATTACAGTGTGTCTTTAATCTGTAGAAGTTTTCTAAAAGTAATGTCTGATAAGAGCATAATGTTAAAAACATGGCCTTTGGAGAATGATAGCTGACTGAATAATGGTTTACAGAACCACACAGTAATATAACTTGCTAATCTCACCAAGGGAATTCCTTTATGTCACAGTATCTCATTTCTAGAATTAATCCTATCTCTCAGTGTTGTTATGAGGAATAAATGAGGCACTGTTGAATGCTTGACTGGGATATGATAAGCACCAAGGCCATGTAGTAGCTGCTGATTTTATTTGTGTTGCGATATAAGATTCTTAGTGTCTGAGATTTCTACTGTCACCTGTGTATCAATTTGTAATCATTTTAAACTGTGCTTTGGGGTTTCATTCTGTCCTGAAGGTGGTGATGAAACATAATGCTGTAATAGAACATTTAAAACAGAAAAAGACCATGACTCCAGCTGAAAGAGAAGAGAATCAAAGGTAGGGAGAAACGTTTATAATCCAGTATCATAGGGGCTCTTTGAATATTGGTTGTGTATTGGTTTCTTGTCTTTAACATGCATGTGCACAGAAGTTCCAATTTTTTCTCTTGACTGTCATTCACTGAATGAGAACACTTGACATTCACTGCTCAGCATGGGCTTGAACCACTCCTTGAAACTCTCCAGTCACAGAGTTTGTTTACCAACTGTGGACACAGAAAAATCATGTCTAAACTAACCAGAATGAAATGCCCAGCATTACATAGGTTGTGTGTTTTTCTCCAGAATGATTGTCTGTAACCAGGTGATGAAGTATATCTTGGATAAAATAGATAAAGAAGAAAAACAGGCAGCGAAAAAACGGAAGCGTGAAGAAAGCGTGGAACAGAAACGCAGCAAGCAGAACGCTACCAAACTCTCTGCGCTGCTCTTTAAGCACAAAGAGCAACTCAAAGCTGAGATACTGAAAAAGAGAGCGCTCCTGGACAAGGACCTGCAGATCGAGGTGCAGGTGAGAGGCATTTCTTTGCCTTCCATGTTCCGCGTTCCATATCCATGTTGATTTTTTCCCCTTAAAATCTTGATTAAGCTTACAATTTCAGTTTGTTTTCTAAAATTCACATCTCTTTATAGAGAGTAAATACAGTAAAAGTCAATGGGACACAAGTCTTTTGAAACAACAGAATTTAAATTAAATGTATATGCTTTCTCTTATCACTTTGAGAGGTTAGTTCTACTGGTTAAAACATTTGAGATCTCTCAGGAATATCTTTTCTTATTCGACAAAGTCTTTTTTTTTTTTTTTTTAAGATTTATTTATTTGTGCATACAGAACTGGGGTACAGGCCAGAAGCTCAGGGGCGGCGAGAGGCTTCACCAGGGACAGAGTGGGGAGCAGAACAGGCAGATGGACAAAGTACACTACTGAGGGGAGCAGCGGGTGGACCAGGAGAGGTCTGCCGCGCCATGTGGTCACCTCCGGGACAGGCGGGAATCGAACTCATGTGGAAGCGGCCTTAGCTTCTCAGTGCTGTGCTTTAACCCGCTGTGCCACCAGGGAGGGCCCTCGACAATGTCTTTTAACAAGTTAGTTAAAAACAAAATTTCATGAGGACACTAAACAGAGAAACTGCAAAGTAGCTGTTGAAAGAATGGAAAATAAAGTATGCTCATTAAGTAAGACCAGAATTCTTCTTTGACTTCCAGTGGATTCTGTAGGTATTGCTAGCCCTCTGCTTGCTTGGGGAAATTTACTGAAAATATGAAAGAAAATGTCTATTCATACACTTTTTTTTTTTTT